TTTAAAAAATATTTAAAATTACATTTAAGATTATATTTAGAATCATATTTAAGATTATATGATGATAATATTATGAGATTTAAAAAAATAATTAATAATAATTCGAACTGAATCTTATTTATAATGAGATATTAAATATGAGATCCTCTCTCGGACTGTGACTATTTGTCCAACTGCGAGGATAATTTCTTGAGAATTGACAAAATTCTGTTATGTAATATGTTCTGTGCACACCCAATCAATAAAGAAATATTTTTTAAATATTAAAAAAAAGTTTTATCAATGTTAAAAAAACATTTAAAAAAACGTTAAAATGAATGAAAACTCTTCTTTTATTAAAAAATATTTTAACATTATATAAACATTTTTTTAAACGTTTAACAAAATGTGTTTTTAATATCAAATAAACATTTTTTAAATATTTAGGGACGTAAACAATAAAAAATGTTTTTTTTACGATGCGCGAACTGTTAAAATACTTTATTTTCATTTTGGAGCTCGATTTTGGGTTTCCTTCAAAATATCATTTCAGTATCATTTTATTATAAAATAGGTGAGAAATTTCTTATCGTTGTGCCTTTTATTCCATCTGCAATTAACTTATGAAAAATAGTGTCCATCTAGCCACGTACTGTGCTCGTTAATTAATTAATATAAAATAAATGTCAAATTAACGTAAAATAAATATATATTTTTTATAGTTATTATTTCAAAGAAATAACTAATGTGAAATAAATATTTAAACAATAAATATCTATTCTCTAAATTTTTATTTGCAATAAATAATTAAATGGTAAATAAATATTTAAAAAACATTTTAAAAATATTGTTTGCAGATTGGGTATGAATGTGTTACGCATAATATATATGTATAAGAAACACATGCATTTAGCGTTAGATGTACTATGGAAATATCGATCTCAATGGTAACTCAATTTTTGGTACACGCACTATTATTTTATTTTAAATTATATTACAACTTTTTAAATTCGTAATTTTTTAATTTTACATTTCATTGCGTTAGATTTAGATATAATTTCATTAAAGATATTATTTATTATTGTATGACATATGTTATTTCTAGAATAATATTATATAACTTATATTGTATGATATTTGCAATCATACAAATACGATTGTGCGCAATTAAAAAAAAGTTGTTTTGAAAGAGATTATTGTTTGAATATCTAGAATACTTGGGATAATTAGAGTTTCTTCAAGTAGAACATAGAAGTTATTATAATATCATGAGAACATCATCATGACTTCATTCATCACTTATGAATTAATTTTTAAGTATCAAATATCACGATGATATTATTATGATTTAATTATGATTCCTTGTTCCTGAATCTATACTTCCTTGAATTTAATTTAATTGTGACATTATCTTTATCTAATCGATATCTCTTAATTATTTTCATCCGGGGGAATGTCCATTGCAGATTCTAAGTGAACGTAAATATTTCAATGTATAAAAAATCTAATGCTATTATCATCAAACTAATAGAAAGTCCAATAGAAAAATTTTGATTCGTAATTTGTCGCATACTGAAATGGAGATTTTTTTCTCCTGTTTAATAATTTTTGTATTTATTATGCAACTTTTATTCGAGTAAAATAAATTAATGCTCACATG